CTTGATGCTACTTGAATAATGACATGATGTGAAAACGCATGCCTCTTTTGCAACAGATTTGGCTAACTAATCTCTACAGAAAATCTGATTTAAAGATGTGGAGACAAACTGATCAAAGGAAAGCTCTGACCCGTGTGTTCAGATCAGGAGTTTTAAAGAATTTACTGAATAAAACGAATCATGTTCCTCTAAAATAACTTCTTAATTACTTTATCTAGGCCACCAAACAATGTAGTATGTCTTTTTGTGGTTTGGTCACAAGATATCACAAGAATGAACATTAATTTTCTTATTATTCCAAATAAGATTATGTGCTATCTTGGAAAAAATAAACCTGGTGACAAAAGTGCCATGTGCACATTAAATCAAATTACCAAAATGTGTAATTCTATCATGCTTTTAAAGGCTACAAGTGCTCGAGAACAGGACAGCTGACACAATGTAGGACTGTAATTTATAATTTTGTGTTAAAAAACATACTATACATTGCAATGTTTATGCATTTTATAACTCTTTCAGTCTTTACTAGCAACACAGCATGTAGAGAGACTGGAAAAATAAGGTACGTGGGTGCATATTATCATTATCCTAGTAAGCAAAAGGGGAAATGGATTAATTTTAATTACATGTGGGTGTGTGTGGAAGCATGTTTGTGTGTGTGTGTGTGTGTGTGTGTGTGTGTGTGTGTGTGTGTGTGTGTGTGTGGAGCATCCTGCCTTGCAAAAGCTGGCAAACTTCACAAGGGCATGCAGCCCAGAGATTGAATCAGCACAATATAACTGTGCAGCAGCGCAGGAGTAAAGAATGTTATGTCCGTAACCCAGCTGAGCAAAAGAGTGACACTTACCCTGCAGTTTTTGCATCACATTAGCGATGTCCACAGATCCTCGGCCGAAGTGCCTTGGAGACGCCATGTCTTCTCGCCGCAGCTGTATGACAAGGTGGGTCACTGATGCTGAGAGCAGAGGATCCTTCACAACTGTCCTGAGTGGGACATCCCCTCTGCCCCTCCCTCTGTCTGCTCCTCTCTCCTTCTCTCTCTCTCTCTCTCTCTCTCTTTCTAAGTTTACTGCAGGACCAGGTCCAATTGAATCTCAGGTTTCATGCAGGGACAAGCAGCTTTACTGTCCAATAGAAGCACTTGTTCCATTCACTGCCTGCAACAGAGAAGTGTGTTCAGATGGTTTCAAATGTGGCCACACCTATTGTCAAGCAAGTCTTTTACTACTACAGTGTCGCTCACCACGCTCAACAGTGTGGCCTCGTTTTGAGTCCAACTTAACTGCTTAACTTCTTAATATAAAAAAAGTATAAGTTAACAACCCTGTCTAAGAACAAGAAATTATCAGTGTGGTACCTCATGACCAAAGAGTCTGTGTAGACATTCAGAAGCTTTTTTTACAGAAGACATTTTCACAAGTTACAAGAAAAAAAAAGTGCAGGTGTGAATAATAAAATTAGCGATGGCCATTCAGCTGCTTCAGGTTCAGGGTACTGTGCATGCTGGCTCACAGTCACGCTGTCATGACTTACAACAGAGCCATTGTTAATGTTATTAGTAACACCTGTGCTTAGCCTCCTATGACAGAATGTGAAAAAAGGCCTATCAAATCATCCAAATGTCTTGATCCTGTTACGCTCTCAAAGGCTACAAGTGCTGGATAACAATCAAATGACAGCATTTAAGACCAGAAGTGATCACATTTGCTGCATGAATATCAATCAATTCATTGCAGATACATTTTTACAGGCTCGCAATCAACTTTATTGGCTGAGTATGCTGATGCTGCTAGGTATTTGACTAAATTACAGTTCTCAGTAGGTTCCAAGAAGAAATTAACAGGAAGACAGAGAGATAAATATAGACACACGGTTGCACAAAGATAACAAAGATAAGCAAACATAGACACAGAGCTATTATTAACTGGACAAGCATGCATTATGAGTAAAATAGTAAGTAAAATGCTATAAAAAAAATGCATTTCTTGTTGGCACACACTGCAAACTTATAAACACATTACCGCTTTACGGACACTCAAAAGGGAAGTTAAATTGACGAGGGAGAAAATGTCTGAACTAGCCCAAGAAAGTTTAAAGTTTAGACAGCAAGGCAGGTTACATTCATTCCCTGTTAGGCACATATTATACTATCATAAAGTTAGTTAACACTTTATAGCTGAATCGCTATTTGAATGGTGTGCAGGAGGCAGGGTGTAACTCTTATTAGCGCCACTTCAACACGGGAGGAAGTTAAAAAAAAAAAAAAACACCAACTCAAAGAACTAACTTGAAAGCACAAAAATAAGTTTATGTAAACAGGACCCTAACAACCAGCGTGCAAGCATAACGTTATCAATGAAACACACTCACACAGACACACACACACACATTTTCATCTTACCACCTTCAGGACTGCAGAGCATGATAACTTTACAGCGGAAGTGTCTGTGTGTGTTTCCTTGTTGCCATTGGTAACGAAGAAAATGAAACATGGTGGCGTGAAGTGAAGTTTGTAACCACAAGAAGAAGAGCGGCACGCTGCACGCACTATAAGAGGAAGAGGAGGAGGAAGAAGGGGTCGGAAATGTGTGGTCTAGTTCCTGTCCTCCTAATTTTTTGGGGGGACAAAAGGGGTCATTCTTTGGCTGAACAGAGAGGAATTCCGGGTGTCCCCCCCTCCTCTCTCCCTCTCTCTCTCTCTCTCTCTCTCTCTCTCTCCCCTCCCTCTCCTAAGGTCTGTGTGTGGTACTCCATAGTGAGTTCATAGTGACCTTTACTGACTAATAGTGATATCCTAAAATGAATACTGGATGCTAAAAGAAGAGGCTTAAGGCCACATAAAAAAAAAAGGTACCACTTTCTAATGGATCTTTGGATGTATAAGCTGTAAATGGTGACTTTAAATGGTTAATAAATAATTTAGTAATGTTTTATTGAGCAGGTTAAAGCCATTAAGGAGAACAGGTTTTGGGGTTGTCAGGTTGTGTAAGATCCCTCCTCCAGCATGGCTTTCTCTTTTTAGCTATAGGTCTTTAATTAATCAGGAAGAGCCCTCAAATGGGAGGGCTGCAGACCATCTGGACCACAATGCATTTGTTAAGTCATTAATAAAGGGTCACATGTTCTAATAAGCATAAACAAGCACGAAACAACCCAATAGAGGAAGGGAAGGCTATGTCTTCACATCCTATCAAAGATAGTGTCATAGCTTTGCATTTCCCTTTATGCAATATAGCATCAGAAAGACTGAAACACAAACAAATACACAGATCAGTACAAACCGTAACACAATACAAATCAACAAGTTAAACAGTAACAAAAAGGGGAGGTCATGTCACACATCAAAAACCAATTAAACAAATTATGATATAAAATAATTTTATTTCCTAACTGTGATCCACCAGATCCTTCAACACAATCTACTGCCACTATATTCTAAAAAAAAAAAAAAAAATCCTACAGACTATACTGTCAAATTTTCCATCAGCGTTATTTCAAAAATAACCTTGTGCCACCCAGCTAGCGTTGGAGGTTTGCAGTCTGTACATTTTTAAAAAAAGGTCAGGGCCTACTCACTTTCTAATAAGCCATTTGCAAAGCTATGAGACAGTCACCTGTAATAATAAATGTAATAAATACAAAGGACATTTTTTTTTAATATTAGTATCAACCTTTATTTTTAACATAGCCCTGATCCTCATGTGCTCAGCAGATAACAAAAGAAACTCTGCCTTCCAACTTACTGGACAAATTCAATATTAGCAACATGAAATGTTTAATATTCAAGAGAAACTATGAAGCAGAAGCTTCAACTCACTCCAGACATGAAGTTGGCAGATGACTGTAGGGAGTTTGCTATCTGCTTCCTGTGGTAGAGACCTTTACAGGCCAGCTGGTGGCTCTCTCTACATAGTCAACATTATGTAATTAATGAAGAAACACACACATAATCTTCCAAAGGACACAGTGCTGAATATGTTTCAAGTTATTATATAAAACCAAGAAGTTTTACCAAAAACTACTTTGACTTTCTTGCTAATTCCAACAAAAATTTCAGTTTAAAACTCCATGTCTTATAGTTACGTTTAATAACTGTAACCTGCTACACCACACTTAAAATGTCAATAACCCAACTGAAATGCAACCCTTATACGCCTGCAGCTAAATTCATTTATTTCTTGTATGATGTTTCAGGCTATTGCAGATTATAGTGACTGAAATACAAAAACCTGGAGGTTCCCTAACTCTTATTTACAAGTACTTCTGCGCCACCTGCTGGACTGTTTTATGAACTTCTTAACTACACATACAGACTTTTCCTCATATAAAACATTCTCTATTGCCTGTTCCTTAATTACATTTTTGAGGAATTTGTAGAGTTTGGGCCTAAAAAAGTGCTCACCTAATAAAGGCGTTGCTTTAATGCAGTCTTATGAAAATGGATGAATATATCAATTTGTTAGAAGGGAATAGTATGTATATTGTATCAGCTGTTGAGCTGCAGGAGGCTGGTTTGTTGTAATATCAGCCTGAGGACTCTGAGGGCAGAAGTGAAGTGGGAACAGTGCAACAATTGAAGGAAATCCCCATAGAGACAGCAAGCCTGATAGACTCTCCAGTGCATGGTTAGATTTTCATGGTTCAGCTTATCCAGAACCTTGTCAAGACACTTGGAAACACTGCCAAGACTTTTTACGTCAGAAGTAAGATTGTATTTTTAAGGGTTCTGATTTCTTTTTTATTTAGTCTTACAGTTCTATCACAGGGCCTATGTGTAGCAGTAAACAAGTGTTTAACTAAAGAAGCATGCCTTTACTTGGGCCAATAAAGCCATTGTTGAACAAGTATTGATCCTAAGGAAATGATGCAAAAGGAAACAACCCTGTTTCCCAGTGTTATGTCCCACACAGATAAGCAATGCACTTGCTAATTTTAAAGCCAGAGAGGGAAGGAAGCATGACAGCAAAGTTTCCGCTATACCAAACACTGTAGAGGGGAAAAAAACCATAAAGCCTATCTTGGAAAAAGCTTAGTGTTGGTCTGTCTGCTCAGAGCGAGTGTGGAATCGAACACCGGTTTATGGTGGAATTATGGCACATAATGAAACACATCCCCTTTTGGAGATACTAAAATCATTTAATCTTGGTGAGTGTATCTGTATTTGTTTCTTGTGAAGACCTAGGGAGTAGTTCCTGGAACCACTATGTAAGAGTAGCATGTTGTTTTGTAAAATGCAGACGTGAACAAATTATTATTTAAAACCTCTGTGTCATTATTTTTAGACTGATATCTCTGCATTTGGAAAATTGACAAATGGGCTCTAAATAAAGCACTCAATATGTTAAAGGCCAATAGATATTATTTTAAAATTAAAATATATACCATCCAGACCACTCAGGTCGTCTATTATTGTCGACAGAGTCAAAACAGTTAGTACGAACAACATATTTGGAAATAAAATCTAAGTTCTTTTAAAAAGCAGATTAAAACCTTCTGTTTGCCACTTCCTGTCATTTAGTTAAATTTGAGGCTGTTTATTAATATATGTCCTTGTACTTTTTCTTTCATATCTTATCTTAATACCTGTTTAAGTCATACAAAACACATCGAATTGCCTTGTTGTGAACAACTTTTTGTAAGAAGTCAGGAAACTTTTGAAGTCAATATCTATTTACAGTACTGTATCATTTCTGGAAGAACGTGACAATCAAATTATAAAAAAACACCAATTATATGGTTGGTTTGTGCTTCAACACAATGATACTCCATAGACAGTGAACCCACACGCCGGTATGATGTAAGATTTTACATAACATTGTGCCCAGTATAGCGGTGTCCAACAATAAAAAAATCAATACAAAGAACAAAACTTTGTGAAACAAATCTGGCACGTATGAGATGTACTTTATTGAGCCGATGCAACTGCTGATGTCTATGCTAATAAGATTTTATTTCGAACTTGAAATGCAGCTGAAACAGCCATCTGGGGGATATAATCTTCCCCATATTGGACCACAATGCATCCTGCCTCACTCTCTACTAAACATTTCCAACCATTATTCTGATCCCCGCCACTTCCCTTTTCTGACACTCTGCATTGATTTTTTGATTTTTTTCCTTTCCAGACGATATGATTCTAGCCTTCTGTTTATCTGTGCTTGTGGGCTTGTTGCTGGGTGCTTTGGTCTATGTGCTGTTGACCTGGGCATCCAGACGCCAGGCCACTGCCAGGATCACCAGGCGCTCCAAAAAGAGATCTGGCACTTCGCAAACAGACAACCCCATGAGCAACCAGCTGGGCCTCTACAGAAGCACTTTTCTGAGTGTCTACAGACAGCCCTCTCTGGAGCCAGTGGGCCCTCTGGGGAGTAAGCCCGGCGTAGAGACCTCCACCTTTCGTCCAGTGGCCAAGAGAAGCAGGCCGAGCCTGGACATGGGAGAGGACACTCAGGTCAACATGCCTGAGGACACAGCAGCTTCAAACTCATCGGATTCAGCATGCCTCGTGCCAAACAAGAGACATTCCTTCTGGTTGGGGAACAACGGGCTTAAAGGCTTCCTACCCTCACAGACTCCCCCTCCTGCATATGACAGTGTCATCCATGCCTTTGAAGAGACTTGCACTTGAATCTGTCCACATAGATTCAACAAGAACTGGAACAGGAGAACATTGTGGGATTACACAGGACTTTCTGGATGTGCTCTTTATAACATCAGACCTTTTCTGTCTAAAGCAGAGTTTCCTTAACCAAATAAGATGCTTCCACAGCCATCAAGTCTCAGTAATATATTATGAGATATAGATTAAAGGTGCAATTAGCAATCATTTCATAATCGATAAATTGCATGTTTCCAAATATATACAAACCCAAGCAACAAATCAGTTCTCTATAGTTGTTTGTGACCACTGCAGAACATCTCATGACCCATGATGTAGTAAAGAGAGTCTGAGGGGGGATTTTATTTTCATCAGTGAAGATGAGGTGTGCTAGATAGTTCTTATATTATCTAATATCACAATAAAGATTTAATGATGATTTTATTCCAGTGCGTGTGCTTTTTGTGCAGAAATTAGTTTATTTTATTCAAAATTAGTAAATCTTGAGTCATCATAGGCTGCTTATATGTGAAATGGAGGAAGGTTATGGGGAAATCAGTTACTTAATTAATAGTAGCCTAATTAACACTAGGTCAGGGACGTAGGACTGTCGCTTACCAGCACATTTATCACATCAAGGTCTTGTGTCAGTCACTTCAACTTACATTACAAAGATGGGGTGCGCCGTGTGAGGTTGCCATTATGAAAGAAACCCCCCTTTGAGGTGCAGCAGTAAATCTAGTATTGATTATAGTAGCCTGTGGACCAGAGTCCATAACAAAATGCGTAAAACATTTTTAAAATACACATACTTACCTTCAGTGATTATTTACAGGCTTATTTCGTGTATCGGTGCTCTCGTTTTAACTGGATATGAAGTTCGGGGTCTATTTTCCGTGCTACCTGCCTCATGGCAACCCGTTTTTAAAGCCACAACCCCAAAGTGCGCCAGCGGAAAAGTGCCTGGCAACACGACCGCACTGTGCGCCGACTGCCTCTGGATTAACATTGTTCTAACGGCGTCAGGTACGTATAACTGCATAACGTTTGTCCATGTAACCTCTTTGATGAAAGCACTTCTTTATTTTCCTCCGCAGCTCATTGGTCTCGTCAGCATTGTCCAATTCAGACTGCTGCATGCGGTCAGCCACAAGACGCCTTTGAATGAGAAATGTAATTGATGTAATGGGTTATGTAGTGAGAGACCTTTACGGAGGAGATGATCTGTTTTATACTTCGACTTTTATTGGATGCTGTTAATCTACAGTCTTCAAAGCAAGAGGCAAATTGTTGTTTTTTTTAACCGCTGTTTGATTGAAATCTTACTATTTATCCCCATTGTCTGCATTAGAATACGTTAATGGTGTTTTTTTTAATGTAAAAATTGGAAAATAGGAGTTCACATCCTTGCCTGGCTGCTCTTGTGTTTGACGTAAAATAGGAAGAACGGACAGTATCAGTACCCATGGAGACTGCGAGTGCACTGGTCTCCAATGCAGTGTTGCTGTTGCATAGAGACTGAGAAAAACTGTGAATTTCAAGGTTGATGCACTGAATGACAACACGGCTATTTTAAGCAAGAGCCACCTCTCTATGTCTCTTTTAAATTACCTTACTTGTTGATTAATGTTGTTAAATCTTCTTAATTTTTTTCTCCTTCTTCATTGCAACAGGATTACACAACTCTCCAGAGCCACATCAGGAAGACATGGGGTGGGCCACTGTCATCAAAGAAGCCTCACATCATTTCGTGGCAAAAGAAACCCTGGAGTGCAGAGCTGCTTGATTTAAATGAATGTAGAGCTGGACAACATCTGGCTGTATGATGTATTTTACTTCCCCTTAGATGTAATTGTAAGTACCTTGAGTAGAGCAGCCATCACCCTTCAGTGCATCCTCTGAATGGAAGTATGGACACATTCAGTGGAGGAATTTTGACTCAACATGCCCAGGAACTATGAGGTATGTTGAATTGCTGCTGTCATATCAGAAACTAATCTTACTTGGCCATTTTATAAATTATTATTACATAATATGCAATCTACTTTCCAGTGTGCCAGTCGGTATGAAGTCATTCTGTGCAGCCAAACATTATTCAGAACCTGATTTTAAATTGTAGAGGAGATCCCAAAGTTTCCGAAGATGCCACATAAGTCACACCATTTTTTTTGTGTGAAATGTGTTACACATGTTGCCCAGGATATATATATAGAGAGAGTCTTGAGCTGGACTATTTTAATCAGTGTAGATGTAGCAAGAAAATAGAGAATATGTGATACTGTCGGTCATAAAGCTCCTTAAAGGGAAATAAAATGGCAAAGCTGTATGTTAAAGAGATAAAGGGTTTAATGTGTAAGTGGATTAACCCTTACAGTAGATATTTATTTTGGGAAATGTTCTTTTTCTACACATATGAACCATTAAGGACATTTTGTTTTCTGACAGTGTCAGTCCAGAGTCAATTGATTCTGACAAGACTGAAAATAAATGCACTCTCATTCTGCAAACATTTTAAGGCCCTAAAATAGAATATACATGATATTTAAATACTTTCAGTTTCAGTTTGTGAATCTGTACAAATATTGGACAGGCTGTAGTGATGATGTCATCTGGAGCTGCTCCATAGACAGTGAATAATAGAACAACAGCTAGAACACTATGAGCAGCAGTCATGGTGATTTTACTGCTATAAGGGCACATGTAGTGATTCACTGTTGCAAGCTTTGTTCACTCAAAGGAAGGAAGGAAAGGAAGCTCATTTGGATTGAATATCTCAAACAAAGAGCGTCTTAGCCCTTTGTTTCAGTCACTAATTTGATGTCTGTGAACTAGCTCAGTAAGGTGTTGTACGCCTATTGGTATCTGTGTATGTAGTACATAAGTAAGTGGTGGGTCTTCTTTCAGGGTAAGGCAGTACAATATTAATGTTGAATTCAGCTTCTTCATTTGAACACATTACTCATTCATCTGGGTGATCCTTGTCTTGGCAGCCAGTATATGCAAAGCTATCTGTTCATTTTTTTGACAGAAACAATCTCATCACAAGTGAGGTGAAGTTAGTGGGTGTTCTGCACATTTTAATTGTATCACAGTTTGCCAGATTGACTTTAAATTGTAGATGTTCTTACGTAATTTCTTTTCTGAGCACTTTAAGGACGGCTTTATCAGCCATGATGGCTTAAAAATTAAGAAAATGTTCATTCTTGACCTAGGAAACAGTAGTTGACAGAATAATCTTACTACACGGTCCATTTAGTAGCTGAGGCTTTTGATTGTATTGCACAATCTTCCTCAATAGATGGACTTACCACCAGGCCCAAGAATTAACTTTCAATCTCAGCTATTTTATGGTTAGTTTTGCTGTTCTTCTTCTTCTCGTCTCATCGCCGTTGTTGGACTCCGAACCTCAGTAACCGCAACCCAACTTCATGCTGACTACATTTCCACAGCCAACCGTGAAGCAGAGGGCAGTTTTATTTAGATTTAGGGTCACAGACAGACACAAACTCATAGTGTACATTGAATCTGGTTTTCAAAGTAAGTAAAAAAAAAAAAAAAAAAAAAAAAAAGTTGCATATAACAGCTTCAACTTCCTCTTCTTCCTCCGCTTTACCCACCAGCCTGGTCACTCAGTAGGGATGTTGGCTGCCGTGGAACATGGTCCCATCCTCTGCAGCGACTCCAACATCCTCTGCCTTTCATGGAAAGGCCGGGTCCCCAAGAGCGAAAAGGACAAGCCGGTGTGCCGGAGACGGTACTATGAGGAGGGCTGGCTCGCCACAGGGAACGGGAGAGGAGTTGTTGGGGTGACGTTTACATCGAGTCACTGCAGGAGGGATAGAACTACACCTCAGAGAATCAATTTTAACCTGCGAGGACACAACAGCGAGGTGTGGTCTTGCCTCTAGAAATGTCCCTGCCCTTACTGTCTCCTTTTTTTTGCAATATGCTTTTATTGAGAGTTAAATACATAAAGAGCAATTCCAGAAATCAAACTGTTACTTTTATTTCTCATGTTCCCCAAATAATCTCCTTCCCACTCTGAGAACTGTATAACAAAACTGACATATATTATTTATTTATATCTAACCCACCGTTACAGAATCCTCCGTCTTGATCTAAACATCAACATTTCCTGTCTTTGAGTTGTAAAAGTATGTAAGTAGTATTAGTAGAAAAATATATATAGCATAGAAAATTAAAATGTGCACCATGTGGCATAAAATAAATGAATATTGAATGAATAATTTACATATACACCCAATTTACAGATTCAGAAAACAGTAACACTATATTTGTATTTTCTCTGTATGCGGACATTTCTTTCTACTGCAGAGGACTTTGAAATCACACACTCACCTCTAAAATGCTTTTTTAGCATTCTGCTCATACTGCATATTAATCATGAATGTTCGTCTGTGCAGCAAAGCCACCTGTGTTGCAAAAAATAGTAACTGTATTTTTGGGCTTTTACAGGTTGTCTTGGTGCGTTGGAATGAACCCTTTCAGAAGCTGGCCACTTGTGATATGGAAGGAGGTATTTTTGTATGGATCCAGTATGAAGGAAGATGGTCTGTTGAGCTAGTGAACGACAGAGGAGCACAGGTAGACACTTTATTCTGTTATCGCCTAAAGATTGACAAAAGAAAATGCACCTGAAAAAAGACTAAGACAGTGTTGTGTACACATATACATCTTTCCTCCAGGTGAGTGACTTCACATGGTCACATGATGGCACTCAAGCCCTCATCGCATATAGGGATGGCTTTGTGTTGGTCGGTTCAGTCAGCGGACAAAGACACTGGTCCTCTGAGATTAACCTGGAGAGTCAAATCACCTGTGGCATCTGGACGCCTGATGATCAACAGGTACACATTGTCTGATAGAACTCTTATGAATAGCTTTTTGTATTATGTAACCTTTCTTTCTGTTATAAAACATAAAAAAAAGTTATCTTTAATAAGAAAAACTAAATCAGGGGTGAGGTCATTTCCTCTTGCTTCTAATGCTACCCTCAAATACAAGATAAAATGACTTATATAACTGGCTTTTTTTGCTGCAGTTTTCAGTATTTGATGCTCCAGAGCATTTCCACCATGTCATCTATTAAAGTTTAATGTACAATGCCCCCTCAGGTCTTGTTTGGTACAGCAGACGGTCAGGTGATAGTGATGGACTGTCACGGACGAATGCTTGCCCATGTTCTCTTACACGAGTCTGATGGGATTGTGAGCATGTCCTGGAACTGCCCTGATTTCCTGGTTGAGGACAGCACCGAGAGCGACACAGACTCTGATGACAGTATTCTGCCTTTAGGTACAAACACATACCCCCACTGCTCATATGACAGCGTGCTACCTTGTCATGGCTGTGGAAAGCTAATGTACTTACTTTTCTTTGTTCCTCCAAGCACGGAGAGTCAAGCCTTTGTTGACAGTCACCTTTTTATCAGGAGATATCAGTTTAATGAACAACTATGATGACCTCTCTCCTGCCGTAATTCGCTCTGGGCTGAAAGGTATAAAAATCCATGTTTTTGTTGTGATATTGCGAGCATGTTCATGAATTGTGTTGCTCATATGACCCATAAGACATAAGGTTTTTGTACTCCATCACTCCACAGACGTCGAGGCCCAGTGGTGCTCCCAGGGAGACCTCCTGGCTGTGGCTGGCATGGAGAGACATGGGCTTTCTGCTGATTCTGCCTGTGCGTCAATCATGAGGAACGCCCTTGTTAAGTTCTATAACGTCCAAGGAGAACACATCTACACTTTGGAAACACCTGCACAGGTTAGTTCTGTATAAATTGAGGTCTTACTGGTCAATATGGAATACAATTAATATCAAAATAATCATAACATTTTCAATTTCTGTTTACACATTAAAATTATTTATTTGATTTCTCTAAATTGGACTGCAATGCAATGAAAAGGTCAAACTGGAACTTTCTGCATTTAGTACCTATTAACACAATTAAAATGTGTACTAAATACTTATATGATTACAAATAATAGATGATCCATACTTTTTTTATAAGTGTCAGTACTTAATATACACTAATGCCACTGAAGTGAGTAGACACCTCATTCAAGAGTATGTGTTTTGTCAGTCACTTGTGGGTCATAACTTTAATTTCTGTTGCACTTTTCAGAATAAAAGCACTTCAGAATTAAGAGCTTGAATATAAATGGTGAATAATATCAGAACAGATAAATAATTGAGAGAAATGAGTACAACAGTTGACAGATAATTGAAAATCCAATAGATAGACAGATAGAGTACTATATTAATCCCAAAGAGGAATTTCTGTGTTACAGCATCTACTATACATAAATCACAAAAAAAACAAATGGCAAAATAGACTAAATCAAATAAAAAAATATAAAGTACAGTACAGTAATATACTGTAATATAATGTGCATTAGTACAAGTCAGGTAGATGCAGTATTGCTAAAAGCTATACAGTAAAGTGCAGAATCATCCTTGAATATGAAGGATATTATGAATATACATACGTTTTTTAATTATGCACACTATGAATCCGTAACCTAGGAGATGAACTGTCCTTGTTATATTGAATGAGTTAAGGCTTCACTGCCAATGAATGTTCATTGTTAATTACCGTAAGAATTTATTGTATATTAACTGATTTTCAGAGACCCATCACCACCATCTGTTGGGGTCACAGAGACTCTCGTCTGTTCCTCGCCTGTGGACCAGCACTGTATGTGGTGCGTGTGGAGCACAGGGTGGCCAGTCTGCAACTTTTATGCCAGCAGGGCATTGCCAGCGCCCTGCGGGAGGAAAAAGATGTGGGAAAACTGAACATGCCCTCGCTTCTCTGCTCTTATGTCACCACTGCTTTCATACCCACCATCAAGGTATATAGATTCCTGTTTAAATGCTGTGCAGTAACTGTGTACAGTTGATTTTTTACCAACTTTGCACTGTGATATTGCAAAACTGCTGACAGAGGCATGTTTTCATTTGAGCATCCAGCAATTCTACAGCCCTTTCCTCTCTTTGTTTTAGCCCCCAATCCCTGACCCCAACAACATCCGTGACTTTGTCAGCTATCCCACAGCTGGGAATGAGAGGCTTCACTGCACCATGAAGCGAGCAGAGGACAGCCCAGAGGCAGGCGGACCCTGCTACACTCTCTACCTGGAATATTTAGGAGGACTGGTGCCCATTCTCAAAGGAAGGCGCATCAGTAAACTACGGCCCGAGTTTGTTATTATGGATCCAAAAACGGACAGCAAAGCAGGTGGGCTTGGACTTTTACACAGTCTTATACTTTTTATGGGGACTATATTTCTGGTAAACAGTAGCTCCAGTGAGTTCTGTGGATTATCCAGAGTAATCACAAATTAAACTCCACTACCTCCACACTTGTATTGGTGTTGTGGCAGACATTTCATTGGTGTATAGTTATTGTCATACACACAATCATATACAGAACAACATATAGCTAAATCCGTTCTCTGAAAATAAATCTTTTAACCCATCCTAAGTGTTAGGAGCAGTAGGCAGCCACTGTGCAGTGCCTGGGGACCAGCTCCAGTTCTGAACCTTGGTAAAGGGCACTGACAGGAGAGATTAACCTAACGTACATGTTTTGAAAAACTGGAGCACTGAGAGGAAACCCACACAAACACAGGGAGAACATGTAAACACAGAAAGGCCCTACCCTAGCTGGGAATCAAACACAGCACCTTCTTCCTGTGAGGCAGTACATTCCTGTATAAACTGGATAAAATGACTGAAGACTTGACTAGTTTGACATTTTGGGAAATAATGAGAAGGTCGATATCACTCTGATGTCTGTATGCTAAATATGAGATTAGAGCCAGGAGACTGTAAGTGTTGCTTAGCATAAATAACTGGAAGTAAAGGGAAACAGCTAGCTCGGCTTTGTCTAAAGTAAAACAAATTCACCAACCAACCTTCTCTCAGTTTTACATGTTGTATCTCGTTTGTTTAATCCGGACACAAACAGAAATATGAAAATGACAAGTAGTGGTTTTATGGGGAGTTATGTGCTGGAACTATTTCTTGGCCAGTGACTTCCTGTAGTTGTCATGACAACATAAAAGGGATTTAAATACATAAATAGCCCTACTCAAAAAAGAGTTTTTGACATATATTTGACAGACGTGACATGAGGAGTTGTATTGATCTAATCATCTACTAGATAATGATACCACAAACATTTCCCAAAATATTTTTTAGATAGAAGACCGGGCCAAAGGAAATCTTGTTCCTTGTCAACTTGAAATTAAATATGCGCCTAGTTGAGCTCTTCAAACATGTGCTCCATTTTAAAATGACTGCATATTCATGTGGTGTGCCCATCCTTCACCTTGAGTAAAAACAAATACAGACTCCGGTGATGACTGCTCCTCTCTGATGTAACATAGTCTGAGGCTTGAAACAGGAATAGCCTGTACCATGACCTGGCTGCACTGGGGTTGCATTTAGTCTGCGGCCCCACCAAAAGTGTGCTTGCCTTTTAATTATGTTCTTTACATAGAGGTAGTTTTATGCCAGGTTAGTATGTATGAGGACTCAGTTCACGCTCACCATTTCTGTTTTGTGTTTTTGTTCCAGAGGAGGTGTGTGTGAATCCCATGATTTCATACACTGACAGCTGCAACTGCTCCGACTCCAGTGACATTGAGTTGAGCGATGAGTGGGTCGGGAAGAAGTCACCAAAGTTATCCCGAGGAAACAGGTCACCCAAACTCTACATGTCAGAAATTATATAAATGAACTTTTTTTTTACACAATACACAGGCCTGAACCACAGAGTGTTTGCAATATATTTCTGTATGATTTGTTTCACCATGCTAATTGAGCTCATGACTGTAATTAATAACATCAAATGAAAATGTAATTTCAGAGGAAAAGATAATTGAATCATGTACTTCTTTGTTTCAAAGGATGAACATGGAATCGAGAAAATCTCCCAAACTTTCACGTGCCAATCAGGAAGGCCAGCGGTCACCACGGTTACCAACGAAGAAGCCTCCTGTTCGATCTCCCAGTCTGACACGTCGAGAGTTTTCAATGGATGGAATTACAGAAGTATGAATCTGCATTACATAATCTAATGCTAATAAGTAACTGTAGTGTCACAAAAGGCTTTAAATGGTGAATCTTGAAAAAAAGTGATTGATGTTCTCAAATTATTCTCTTAGCCAAAATGTTCCTCTATTTGTTAAATATCAAAATCAAAAAAAATTTTGCTTTCACTCTACCTGATATATTAACCTATAGGCTCATGTCAACTGCTGATTAATTTTCTTATCACATCAGTAACTCTCATTTTTATTTCCTTTCCTTCTGCTCTGAAGCACAACTACCTGGCTCAAGTCACATCCAACATTTGGGGAACAAAATTCAAAATTGTTGGACTTGCTTCTTTTCTCCCTGCCAATCTTGGTGCAGGTAAATGTCACAAAAGTCACCCTTCACGTTGACCATTCTGATGAATTGAACAGTCGTCATAACTTTCCTCTACTGTGTGTTTCAGTCATCTATAAGACAAGTTTGCTTCATCTGCAACCGAGACAGATGACGATCTACCTTCCAGAAGTGCGAAAGATTTCTCATGACTTTATGAGCCTGCCTGTGTTCAACCCCAATGTGTTCAGTGAGGATGAGGATGACTTACCAGGTGTGACCGAATAAAAGCACATTTTCAGTTCAGAAGCTTACGAAATTATATTAAGAGAAATTTGTGTAATTCCATTTAGTTCAATGCATCTGACTCTGAATTCTGTATTTTCTGAAAGTCACTTACACAGTTCTTCTCTTTGTTTTTACAAAGTGATGGGGCCATCTGGAGTGGCAGGAGACAATCCTCCCTGCACAGTCAACATTCCCATTGCTCCCATCCACAGCCCGGCTCAGGCCATGTCTCCTACTCAGAGTATCGGCCTGGTTCAGTCACTTCTGGCCAATCAGAATATTCAGCTTGATGTCCTGACCAACCCTACAGCCACTGCAGCAGCTGCAGCTGCAGCTGCAGCAGCTTCTGTCCCTGTTACTGATCACGGGCAAGATGCAGTTGCAACACCATATCCAGTGCCAACTAGATACTCAAACCCTGGTCAGGTGATCTTCAGTGGGCTGGAGATGGGTCCTCTTCTTCCTGGTACTCTTCCTCCCCCACCTCCACCTCACCATCTCCCACCGCAGCCTCATCCGCAGCGGTCTCATTCACAGCAGCCTCGCCAACAGCAGTCCAAACAGTCCCAACAAATGCAGGCGCAGCAGCAGCAGCAGCAGCAGCAGCAAAAATGCATCATCACCAACAACAACAACAGCAGCAGCAGCAGCAGCAGCAGCAACAACACCATCTTCAGTCCCAATCGCAGCAGCAACAACAGCAATTACAGCAATTACAGCAGCAACATCAACAGCTACAGCAACTGCAGCACCAGCAGGCGCTACTTCAACAGCAGCAGCAGCAACATCAACACCAGGTTCAGCAACACCAACAACTACAACAAAGTCAACAACAAGTGACACCCCAACAACTTCAGCACCAGCATCAAATTCAGCAGCAGCAGCAACAGATGCAGCTGCAGCATGAACAGATGCAGCAACAGCAGCAGCAGATGCAACAGCAGCAGCAGCAAATCCGGCAACAGATCCAGGAGATGAGACAGCAGCAGCAGCAGCTCCAACAGCAGCATCAGCAGATCCAGCAGCAACATCAACAGATGCAGAGGCAGCACCAACAAATGCAGCAACAACTGAAGATGCAGATGTCGCTGCCCCCTCCTCCGACTGGCTATCCAACCATTTCTTTACAACAGATTCATCTTCTGCCTCAGATTCCTCCTCCTACCACTGAGCCTATGCTCAACAGGGGGGAGCATAGCCACACTCTTAAGCCAAGTCTGCCGCGAACTTTACCTCCCTTCACTGACATGGATGGATCTATGGAGATGCAGATGAGGAAGGTTAATCCTCCTCCTCCATACCCAGGCACTGTAGTGTCTGCAGCAGCAGCTACAGCTGCCAGTACGCCTCAAACTCTTGTCACAAACTGTGACAGCCCAAGTGTCCTGGCGCCAGATAACTGCCTCAAGAAGGATGAATTTTTGCTTCACCCCGTCACCTTGCAGTACCCCACGCCTCTGGGGTACGAAAGGATCACAACCTTTGACAGCAGTGGCAATGTGGAGGAGGTTTGTCGGCCACGCAGGCGCCTCATTCGTAACCAAAATGCATACGCTGTCCACGGCTCGGCCACGCTCAAAGTCACATCCTCGGAGAATAAAAAAATTCAGCTTCCCTACAGCTCAGCAACACTGAGTCGCCTCTCTGTCCCCCGATACTCAATACCTAGTGGAGACCCTCCTCCTTACCCTGATCCAGCCAATCAAGTGACTGCTACACTTCCTCCTCCCCAGAGAATTGATAGCAGTCTTATTCATGCCACTCTACGTCGTGACCGCAGGGACGTGGGACTTAAAGTGCCACAGATGATGGAAAGCTCAAGAACCCTTCCCTCCAAGGCTAAAATAAACAGTGCACTAGCACTTACCTACCAGCAGAGGGTGCCCACTGCATTGTACACATGCACACAGTGCAGCAGTAACAGCAGCAGCACCAGTGTCAGTGTTAGTGGGGGTGGAACTACAAGCAGCGGCATTGCTGGTGGCACGGTGGTGAGGCAGGACTTCCCACCAGGGAAAGGAGCACATCACAGTACCATTATTGTGCACTCAAAAGGTACCTCACCACTGGCCTCTCAGTCGTCTTACAGTCTGCTGGGTGCTGTTGATAACAGCAGGGACAGAACAGTGTACGTTAACTCTGCCTTTACTGAAGATGAGACTTTAAATCAGCAGTGTCACCTTGAAAAGTCTGTACGTCAGCTGACTCTCGGCGATGTCAGTTTGACTGTTAAACGCCCTCCGCCTTACCAGTGGGACACCTCCACCACAGAGGAGTTCTGGCTCACCCCAGAACAAACAATGTTAGGTCCTCCACCAGGACCTCATAAACCGCCTCCACTCATCATTAGCCAAGCTCAGCACTTGGACATGACTCGGCTACCGTTTGTCCTCACGACTAAACCTCCAAGCAGTCCGAGCACAAGCACTCTTACTTTCCCATCAGGTTACCAGATATCCCTCTCACCTTTTCCCCCAGGTGTGGGTCACAGTGGTCCCCAGCTTCAGACATTACAGAACCCTCCACCTCAGTGCTCTCCAAATGACGTGGTTGCTTCAGTCCCTTTCGCTCAGCAGGAACCCAACTTGGTCTTGCCACCAGGCTATCCTCCAAATCTCGCTAATTTGGCCTGCTGCCCTCTCCCTCCAATGTACCCAGGGGCCAGCTCATGTGCGGGACTTCAGCTGCACCCTGTCAACCTTCACCCCTGGAATCCTTATCCCTGCCCACCTCCCATGCAAGACCCTCCAGCACCTCCCCTCCCAACCAAAACTCATCAGATTTTAGAGAAGCCGATTCTATCCCCTCCTCCTCCTACTGCGCCGCCTCCACCACCCCCTCTCCCTCCTCCTCCACCACCTACTGAGCTACCGCCATCCAAAAGTGCCACAGAGGATCTAGCAGAGTCTGCCAACAACTTTCCAGAGCCATCATCCCTGAACGAAAGCCCTGTGCCGCAGGAGTCGGAGCGTTTCAACAAGAAGAGCCGCAAAAGACTGGACAGCAGAGCCGAGGAAGCCAACATGCCCAACGTCTCTGAGGGCAAGTCAAGAAAGGAAGGACGTGCGCTTTCTGACTTCAACACTCTCATTTCTAGCCCAAGGCTTGGCAGTAGAGAGAAGAAGAAGCCAAAGGGACAGAGAGAGCAACTCAACAAAACCAAGAAGATGAGCAGGACCACAAATGAGTTCCAGGATAGCTCAGAGAGTGAGCCGGAGCTGTTTATCAGCGGCGATGAGCTCATGAACCAGAACCAGAGTAGTAAGAAGAGCTGGAAGAACAAGCGCAGCATGCGTATGGCAAGTGAGCTGGAGGAGATAAAGTGCCGCAAGGCCAATGAAAGAGAGGACCGTAGTTTGGGAAGCCAAGGATTTGTCTATGTCATGGCCAATAAACAGCCATTGTGGAACGAAGCCACCCAGGTCTACCAGCTTGATTTTGGAGGACGGGTCACGCAGGAGTCGGCAAAGAATTTTCAAATTGAGCTGGATGGTAGACAGGTAATGTGATCAGCTGATTAGTGAATTGCTTGTAGTCAATCAACAGAAAATTTATCTGCAACTATTTTTATACTCACTTTTCAATTTTTCAGATGTGATCATTTGCTGCTTTTCTTTGTCTTATTTAAAAGCATTCTGAATATCTTTGGGTTTGGGGCTGTTGGTTAGACAAAACAAGCAATTTAAATATCTCACCTCTGGTTGTGTGATCAGCATTTTTCACTATTTAAAAAAAAAAAAAACAAGAATATCACTGGCAGTTTAATCGGTAATCTAGATGAATCAATTAAAAAGTTGTTGATGTGTTGGTTAATTCATGCTTTCTGAAATTTTTTCCCCTTTTTTGTCATTTTCAGGTGATGCAGTTTGGGCGAATTGATGGGAATGCCTATATATTGGATTTCCAGTATCCTTTCTCAGCAGTGCAGGCATTTGCTGTTGCCTTGGCCAATGTGACTCAAAGGCTGAAGTGAAAAGCTTATTTTGTGTTGTTGTAGACTAAATCAAAAGAAGCCACAATGGTCTTTCCACCCCAATGTGTTGGGCTATAGCTTGGAAAATGTCAGAGTTGTGGTGATTCTTTTTTTAAAGAACAGGTTAATATACAAGTTGGTCTTGCACATGCAGATCACGTACAATCAGTCTGTTGAAGGCAAAGTCAGGCTAGGTTGGTGGTCATGGAGACTAAACCAGTTACTCCATCATTTGTAGTTTATACATTGAATGTACTCAAGCTAATTTTATTTATTATTGAAATGTTATTTAGTGAAGTAAAAAAAAAAAAAAACGCCTTCTGGATAATCAAAAGGTAAAAAAAGTAAATGTTGGAATGGATTTTAAAAGCAGTCTGGAGGATTAGTACCACACATGGTGCCAAAGACATCTTCTCTCTCCTTTAATGATGGCTAATTCAATGTATATCAAATTAATGAATATTTTACACATGTTTGTGCTGTTAGGGTTACCTGCATTGTGAGGTACGGTGGTATTCAAAATTGCAAATACATTTTCACAAAGCCATACCATATCTGATACAAACACTGCACTATTTTAATTCACTTTTAAGTAATTAAGTAAATGAATTATAAAGTTTTATGATGAATACCTTTATTTGTATATTTATTCTTCATACAAATCCCATTTGTTCAAGGCAATGCTTTGAATTTTAATCTGTTTTGTTTGTTAAATGTCCTCTACATTATGTTCAAATTGCTGAACATGCAATAGAAGAATATATTGATTCTGTAACTGCAACATGAAGAGTTGAGTACAGTTTACCCTAGTTTGTATATTTTCTATTCATGATACTTCTATGAAGTGGTGCAATGAACATAGTAAATCATATTATTTTGGCCATTTTACTGCAAATCATTATTTAGTCAGAGCTGTTATGATCTGAGAATATTTAATTCGTTTTTTCATGTGTAAATTTACATGTTATTTTTCATTTAGAAAACTTCCCTCTACAATTGTCAGTAATGGTCAACGGTAAGTTTACATGTGCCAAATTTAGCCAAATAGCTGAATGCATTTGGTGGAAAGTGAATTAGTGGCAAAGATGGTAGGAAATGGTCCCATCCCCACAGACAAAACTTTGTTTAAACATGGAGATCCTCTCAGTGACTCTCAAACTTGGTTGGCTCTGTGTTGTTTTCATTGGGTGTTTATGATGCTACTACATCAGTAGTTTGCCGCGTTGGAAATCAGTGCTGCTTTAGATAGATAGAGCTTGTGTGCAATAATGCTACTACATAGAACTGATGTTGTACTTGCAAAAGAAAATACAAAGCTGCTTGCACTGTGTATTTAGTAAATGACTTAACATCCTTATATGCTTAGAAAATTGTGCTTATTTGTTGCTAATTTCAGTAATTTTGTACTTCACCTTTGCTTTAACATGGTACCAAGAGTTTTTTGATGTTGTAGAAAAAAAGATTGAGAACAATAAACTTGCAAAGGTATTAAATACAACATATTCATGAGTTGTTAAGATTAACTGTTAGTAGGAGTGAAATTCATGTAGATTTGGTGCTAATGTATAAAAAAAAAAAAAACAAGTGTGGAAATGTCTGGACATTTGTCATTTGCTAATTGAAGGTTGTTTTAAAGTATATGAAGAAAGCATTTCGCAAGAGGCTACAGGAAATTTGGTGCGGAGGGTTTCTAATTTACAGCTTTTCATTTAATGCAGCTTCAGAGACTTCAGCGACGGTGTGTGTCAGTTATCAGCAATACTGCCTAATGAATAGTTGGTTGCCTGATTTTTTTTTTTTCTCTTAATTTGTGAAGGAAACAATTATGATATGACCATAGGTTCACATTGACCTATAGGCTGGCCAAAATGTAATAAAAAAAAATACATTGTTCCAATTGTTTTTGGTGTTTCATTTCCAGTTTGGCTCTTCCAGTTTCTAAACCAAAGTCTGTGATCCCAGGAACCCACAACACAAACTTCCTCCTTTAGCCCCCTTTGTTTTGCAGTTATGAAGGGATCAGTTGAGTTGTGCATAAATTGTAGACAATATCTCTAAAATGTAAACGTTTATACTACTATTAGTACATTTATTTGTGCATTTGATTATACATAACTATATGATTAACTTTTTTTTAAATTTACAAATATATATTGTTATGACTTTGCTACAGTGGCAGTCTAGAGTCATAATTATTGTTTCTGCATAAAACTGTAATATGTAATCACTAAATGATTATTGTTATTACATTAAAAACTATATACATTAATAATTGTTATGCCCAGAGGAACATTATAATAAAAACACATACAAACCAATCATAAAACTGAGATATTAATGCTGATGTTAACAATAGTATTGATATTAGTGACATTTTCAGTAAAATGAATGTAGACCTATTATAAAAACTGTAGTATAGTCTAGCATTGAGCCTATACAGTACATTTATACTGTTTCGTATCTGTCGAAAGACTGTGTCTACCAGGGCTTACACTGCCTCTAACAAGCTCCTTCAAATATAGTGATAATGTTGTGGATTAGAAGGTAGAATCAGGGAGGGCCACAGTTGTTAAAAGCCCCTTTTCTGAAGCCCTTCCCCTTTTCGAAAAGGTGCTGCCTAAGCTTTCACTGAGGGAAGTAGTGCCTTACAGCCCTGAATCAGGGCAAAAATAGTCTTGAGGCCTACAGGAGGTCAAGAGGCCCACAAGGTTGAATAGTAACGTTATATCAGCTGCTGCTTAAAGCCCCCAAAATAAAACAATATTGTGTTAGTAACTTTAATAACATGTATTATACATTTATATATAATACTATTTATTTATACATTTATTCAAGCGATTTATTATACAAACACAACTTAAATCACATATAAAATCATTAAAAAGAAGAACATTAAAGTTGTTACAGACACACACACACACACAGGTAAGAAGGTTGAACCGCTGCAGCCACAGGAAGCTGCGTGCCGGAGCTTTTATTTTGAAAGCACTGGAGGAATGTGTGTTTGGAGGCTTGAGCATTGATTGTGTGTGTGCGGGGTTTGACGCGGAAATACTCTGAGTGATCGCGTGTTTTTCTCAAAGACTGTGGTTTATTGTCGCTGAACAGTCAGGAGCTGTTTGTCCGTCTGCTGCTGATGTTTTGCAGATTCGTCCTCTCCTCGTTATGTTACCGTCTCAATTTATGTCCTGAACATTTGGATACGAGACCTTAAAAAAAATAAATAATGGACCCACAGGAGGATCTACATCAAACAGGTTGGTAACTTTTTTTAATTTAATCTAAGTAATAAATGTCTGATAACCACAATAAATGGCAGTGAATTCACTTTTTTTGCGCTTTCAAGGGCTAAGATGAATTAACCATTAATTCCACCGTTATCTTTAACTTTATATTCAGCATTGTCAGATCTCATCGTCCCTATTTCTGTCCCTTCACTTTTATTCATTTCCCTTTTTTTTTTTTATCACAGATAACAGCGCTGCAGCTGAATCAACAGATCCTCCCCCGAGGATGACAAGACAGCAGATTCTCACCTTAATATCAATGGCATCTGTCAACTTCAGTTCAATGATCTGCTACTCAATATTAGGCCCATTTTTCCCCGATGAGGTAAGTTTAAAGAAGCCCCCATTAGTCTTTAAATGATATGTCAAGAGAACAGGAGTTTAAGGGTTTGGGTACCACTTAATGTACCTTTTAATTAAAGGCAATAGAGCTTTAACTTCTGGCTTTATTAAAGCAAGACCATGTAGCTTTTTTCCCTTTCTAATGAATGAAAAGTTGAATTAATCAGTTAATAAATCACTCGCTTAAATCAACACACTCAGGTGTTTTTACTATTATCTACTTTACCTGCTATGTATGGTGTCTAACTTTACTTTACTTGACTTACCATAAAACTTCCAATAAAAGCAGGGTCACTAATAGACGCAGGTCTCATTTAAAAAGCCTGGTGTGGCTACAGGTTTTGACAAATAAACGCAGGTCTCCAATAAAGGCCTGGTCTGGATTTTATAGAAATTATCTCGATGTATAAAACCTCTTAAAACCCACCGGGTCGCAGGCTTGAGCAAGTTTTAAGTCGTTTCAATCTCCTACACAAATATAAATGTTTAAACTTCTGTCAATATGTACATGCTGCACATCATTAGATCAGTTATAGATTCTCCACAATTCAATCGTTCACTATATTTTACGAAAACAATCAACAACAAAGTATAACGTTAATTCATTCTGACTTACCGGTAACATGGTAAACGAGAGAAGGAAAAAAACCTCTGAAGCGATCATAATCATCATGTTAGTTGTCAAATTTGCTGAACAAAATCTCAAGAGAAGCAGCAGTTAGAGTTTAGTTTAGTTTTGTGCTAAAGGAATTAAAGGCCTGTCTTAAATAGACACCTGTCCCAAATAAAGGCAGGGGGAGTTCAGTGATTTAAGCAAATAAACGCCTGGGCTATTATTAGAAGTTTTACGGTACTTTAGGTTGATCATTCTGTGTAACCTGCCATCCCCACTGTCAACCTACCTGGATCCAGTCAATAACTGATCAAATTCTGAGAAACGGGTAGAGAGGGAAATAAGAGGGAAAGAAAGAGAAAAGGGAGGTGTTCAGTTAACATGTGTTGAGATTTATTCTAAAATTAGTTGTGAGACTGTTAAGGTGTGAAATGGAGTTAACAAAAACAGAAGAAAAAGGGGAAGCTACTATTTCCTTTGCGTTGGGATTTGCAACTGCACCTCTTTGAATTGTTATTAAACATGTCTGCTTTATAGCTTCCATAGAAGGTTACACCAAATAAGTTTTGTTTAAGTTTTAAGCAAGTTTTAGAATTTGTCATTTTATTCTATTTGTTGAGGTGTCTTTGTTATCATCAGACCAGGGATTACAGTGGAATGTCGCCTTCTTAGCTAACTCTGGCTCTGTTTTCTTCTGTACTCTGTTGAAAGGAGATAATCACAGTCCCTGAAAAATAAACAAATGTACTTAACGAAACTAAAACATTATCCTGTAACTCCCCACAGTAGCTGCTGTTCAGTAAAAGTTACCTAGGAGAGCTTTAATGGTTATAAATAATTTACTTTTGCTTTATAGTTTAGTTACCGATTGTGAGAATCCCATTGACTGGTGTTTAACCCTTCTAATGAGGTTACAACTGATTTATTATTAACTATTTGCGATTTATAATTATTAGCAAAGTGACGGGTTTGATACTGACTACTTAATATCATTAATCATCAATATCATATCATGCTTTTGTGGACCCCTCTTTTGTTAAAACATGGTGTTGTAATCTACAGAACTGCAAAAAGAACATCTAGAATAAAAAGTTCCGTCTGTGCAAGAAATGTGTTGAGATATACTCCATTACTGGTCCTTCTTTACACATTTACTTGCTGTTGTATGTCATTGCTTTCTTTCTTGTTCTTGTCCTCTGTTTATGCATTTTGTAGCACTGATCTGAATGTTTTGCTTACGGTAATGTGGACAGTGAAGTTTGTTTCCTTTGGTAGGAGCTGCGGCAAATGCAAATGACACATGTGATGTGTAGTCAAACAGCAGAAGCAAGATAATCAAACAGGAACCCTGTTCAAAATCAAGACAATGTATAACAGCAAGACAGCATGTATCTTATAAAACAACAGTAATACATATACTATGCTTCCCCCAAATATATACATCATTACATAAGATACTAGGAGGGTGGAGTGCATACTTTCAGTCCTGGATATTTGCATAACATCTGGATAGACCTCTAAATTAGTCATTTTCGTAACAGAAAATGTTCCGTTTTTTGTTACATGCATTCAAATATGCAATGTTGATTTTTTTAGACAGATGCTGACAGGCAGACAGATGTTGACAAAACATTTTAGCATGGGTTGTTTTTGTGTACAGGTATAGGAATGCTTATTGGTCTGACTCTTTATCTATTCCGTTCTTGATTCCTGATCAGTTTTCTATGTGGGTCTGCAAGTTTCCAGCAGCTGGATGCACGAGTTTGACTTCATTGTTTTGCAATGCACAACCTCCAGCATTGAGAAATGAATTGATAAGCTCGGAAAACATACGATTCGTATCAGTCAGACAATTTGGAACCGGTTTCCATCGCTATTTGTGTGTATTAACCAAGACAGACTTTTAATGCTGGTAAAAGATGTGATACAGCAGATTATAACTTCTATCAGGGTAGTGAACTCCTCTGTTTCAGTCAAGGATGTGTCCAATAATTAATTTGATGTTTAATGTGTATATGAAGGTGTGGATAGCAGCCAGTAGTTGCTTTTCTTAGACTGAAGAATAGTGTCACATTTATGGTGTTATTGAGGGCCAAACGGTCACCTTCTGTGGAGAAAGCATGTCATTTGTGTACCCATGTCATTGTAAATCTCATAGATCGGACAGCCATCGTTAATTCCCTCTAACAGCTCAGTACTAGTGTCCTCTCAGTGGAATGAATGAGTAATCATGTGCTAGACATCAGAAAGCCTCCCTGCAGGCCAGTGAATGACTGGCTCTGTTATACTCATTGAGCAGAAGGTCTCAGGTAAGATCAGCTGACATCTTGTGTAATAACTGCAAAGTTTGGGGCACAGTGGAGTGATATATATGGATAGGTATTGGCAAATTCACAGGAACCGTTCTCTGATAACTGTATTTATTTTTTATCTGTTATCTCACCATGTTTTCACTTTATTGATCATTTGCGTTATTCACTTTACATTACATATCCTTATTTATTGCTTTTATGTTACCTAGATGGTAGGATTTGATCTGCTGTCACAGTCTACCTTGAAATAATCATTTCTCCTCAGAGGTATAAATTCATTACATGGATATTTCTACACAGGCTGTGAAGAAGGGAGCCAGTCAGACTGTCATTGGTCTC